TATTGTTAATCTTCTTGCAGAGTATGAAAATTATTTTTGTTTCGTCTCTTTTCTTGTCTATTCAATAGATACTATGTTGATGATTTAGTGCCACAAAGACTATTTGGATTTCTGTCGAATATCGTCTAGGTCCCGAATATAAATATCCGATTTGGTACAATGATGCATGTGATGTGACTCAATATATCACCGAAAATAAAGAATCCTTTGGTGTTTTTTTTTTCTTATTTATCAACATCTTTGTTCAAACTAACTCTTTTTTGGTTATTTATTTAGGTGTTGATCGAATAGCTAAGGTTGGCGTGGCGGGTGATAGTGCTGGAGCTATGATTAGCACATCTATTTGTCAGACGGTGAAAGACATTGATTTTCAAGTATAAATTTTAGTTGTATGTTCGAAAATAGATCATGATTGTTTCGATAATAATTAATAGATTCTTGTTTATGGTTGGTATGATTTCACTTGTGCAACACCATCTTTCAAGGAATTTTCAAATCAACAATATTTTGTCACACCTATATTGGTTGATTGGTATGAAGAGTCTACGTTCGAGTTGACATTTAAACACGACTGATTCATCTTTTTTTTGCAGGTGCATCAAGAATGCATTTAACGATGGATTTGATATAAACGATCCTCGAATATCCGTCATGCGCAATACATCACTCGAAAACTTACCACCAACTTTATTGATTGTCGCTGAACTGGATCCAGTTCGAGATGATAGTTATAGTATGGAAATGCTGCTTTATATACAAAGAAAAATGTCCACCTATACAAATTGGATTCATCTTTTCTTTTTAGCATATAAGGAACTTCTTGATAAAGCTGGTGTAAAGAACAAGCTTGTACTTATCAAAGGTGTTCTTCATAGGTTTTTTCCTTTACCCGGTAAGTAGTCGTTTAGAAAAAAATTTTTTTCACCAACAACACGTTTGCTGATACAGGTGTCTATCCAAAAGCATGTGCACAAGCTATCGATGCTATTCGAGAATTCATGGTATCAATCTCATAAAGATGCTTTATAAAACAAACTTAAGGGTGTGAGGTGTGCGTGTGGGTGTGTGGATGTGGGTGAGGATATGGGGGTGGGTGTGAGTCTTGTTTATGTACTTGATCTGTACCCACACCTATACCCACACCCACCCCCACACCCACCCCCACACCCACCCACACGCACACCCATTTACACCACCCACACCCACACTCCACACCCACTTTCTTAATTTATTCTTCTAAATATTAACCTGATTATTATTTGCTGTATTTTTTTCGAAAGTATAAAATATATATGATAAAGCAGAAAAGTAATCAACTCAATTAGTAATTGAACCATTATTAGATTGAAAATATTTTCGAGATTGCTGTTGATCAACGATGAACTTATAATAAAAATTTTTGTATTTTTATGAAAATACCTAAGACAATAATACGAATGATTTATTTTGAAGAGTATTATCTTTAGTGATATGAACATGATGAGATCGTATATTTCGCATTGTTGATTCATAGTAAGTACGTTATAACGGAATAAATGATGGTAATAGAGAACTTTGTTCTAGAATTAAATCATTCGCAGCTAATAAAATAGGATTTCTAATAAGAGACTGAAGATAATTCGGTTCAATAACAGATCAAATAAGTGGTTATGATCGAATTTCATGTAAATTATTGTGATTAATCAAATCGATTGAATGTACTGTAAAACAAATGTGAAGGAGAAAAAGACAAAACCTTGATTTTAGCACAAAACAATCAATAGTAAATAATCGATTTGTCCATTTTTTCTTAGGAAGTAATAAGTATTGACATCTACCGTTCATTAGTAGTAATTAACTGATAATTACAGTGCATGTGTGTTACTAATCAAAAGTAAAATATTAGCTGCTCTAATTATTGTTACTATGCAGAGATCTTAAACAAAAAAAAACCGTTGCCTATTACTGATAATCGAAGTTCAAATAACGCGAAGCTTACAATCTAATTGAAATCACTCTTTGTAGTGAATTGTCATCATGTTTTTAGACTTATTCACACTGTATCTTCTCACCAATGTCTCAATAGTACAGTATATCGTTAAAGTAAATATCATTCCTCGTTAATATGTAATGAGAACGAACAAGGAACTTTTCTTTTATTTGCTCCAGTCATAGTATCTCAAACTGATATGCTGAACAAAGATAGACTTGCAACCAATGTCATATTGAATATCTTTTAACAATTAACCTATCAATAACAGATGTTATACTGACTTTTTCAAAGAACATTATCATATCATATTGTCCAACATCAATTTATTTTACTGTATATTTAAGAGAAGATCAACTCTAGTTTGATTGTACATTGTACACTAAAATAACAAGCAAATGGATAATAGTAATGCTCAAATCTTTATATAGTAAGCAGAAACTACCACTAATAACACTGTAGGTTACGATATTAAATTAAATATAGAGATTATTCTTTTTTTCTTGAATATTACGATATCAGAAATCTGTTTTTCTCTCTTTTAAAAACGAAAACATATATACGAGTAACATGCGTGTTCAATTAAAACAATCAAGTTAGTCTATTTTTTTATTGCTTATAATTGTAAAAAGGAAATAAGTTCGAGTTTAGTTGTTTCATCAAGTTTCAATAATTAGTCGCTTCTTATTTTATCACTTTTTCTCTTTACAAGATAGAAACATATGGCTCATCATTCGTCTACATTCGAAACAGTTCTTTTTTCATTTTGGCTTGTATTTTCGTTCAGTTCATCGAGACAAGAAAAAAAACTTTTTTCAGTTTTCTTCGATTACTTGCTCGTTTTTTGCTTCTCATGTGTTTATTTGTGTTCCATTTCATGTAAAGAGTAATTGCCTGAGATTATCTATCGACTTAAGTTTTAGCTTATAGTTAGAATCAATGTATTTTTCTGTTTAAGAAATGCATACCTTTATTGTGTATATCGGAATAAACACATTCTGACTCAAATAAACGTCTATTCTGAAGATAATCTTTCAAAATGAAAAAAAGGAATAAGACACTTAGTGTATTATTAGTGATAATGAGTTTTGTGGAAAAGTTCTGAAATCGATCAAGTTATGGTGATCATTATATATAAGATAGACAAAATATAAGCGTCAGAATCACTCATCTAGAATTACATTAGTAGTCTTTCAATAATTATTGTTCAGATAAAGTGCTTAATGAAGAAAATTCTCTACGAGTAAGTTTATAGGATGAATTGTTTGAGACGGTTAGAATTTCAACTAACTATAAAAATAATTTTAAGTCTTCCATAGATGAAAAAACTATAGATCACTTTATCACTCAAGAGAAAAGCAGATAAAATCACTCCTGAAAAGATGATAATATCATTTCTAGAATAGGCTCAAAGCTTACGATAGTTCTCGCATCACGTAAAATATCGTGGTTTTCAATAAAATCCACTTGAAATTTCTATACTGTGAACTGATTCAAATAAAGATAAATTCATTTCTGCAATTCGACTGAGGGTGTGGGTGTTCATCTTTTATTCTATCACACCCATTCACACTCACACCCTTCTAGTCACTGTAATTGTGCACAGTCCAATAGTGTGATTATGATGTGAAACGCTTTATTTGATATGACACACAAATTGTGTCTTTTGGCATGATCGTATCTCTCTTCAGACATGACCATTTCTCTTCAAATTTATGGCGAAAGGAGTTCAAACTAAGAGACAACTTTTGATTGCGAAGATATGATCGTAAATCCTATTTTTATTATACCCATGGCATAAATTTCTGCGAAAAAACCGCGTTCTCAAAACGCATTTTTCCACAGTTGCGAAACGTGTTAATGCTGACCGGTTTAACGCATTCCACATCTGCTAATACGAACACTGTGAAACGATCGTTTTTCTAAAAACGTTTCGTAGCGTTCAGAGGTGGGATCGGTTGGCATTTTTGCCAAACCGAACCGACCGTAACCGAAAAAATCTCTAACCGAACCGAACGTAACCGACCGAATTTTTTAAAATTTCTAACCGAACCGACCGTAACCGAAAAAATCTTTAACCGAACCGAATGTAACCAACCGAATATTTAAAAATTTCTAACCGAACCGACCGTAACCGACCGAATTTCAAAAATTTCGTAATCGAACCGAGTTTAGAGAAAGCGAAGTTTAGCTTATGTTAATTAGGATAGTAGTGCTTTATAAATTAGCAACAACAAATCGAACAGTAGCAACTATGAGCAAACAACATCTAGAGAAAGTAACGAAGAAAGATTATTTATTGAATCCTCTTACTGTATTATAACTTTCTTACCTCTCACAACAAATTTAAAAAACATGTGAGATAATACGAGTTACGAACAACAGCTAATTGTTGTACGATTACACTCTTTTTCCTTCCTATGTCTCAAAAAGTCCATTGAACTCAAATCAAAAGATTATGTCGATTCTTTCTAACCGAACCGAACGTAACCGACCGAATTTTTTAAAAATCTCGAATCGAACCGATTTCGGTTACAGTCGGTCGGTTCGGTTCGGTTAAAAACCGAACCGGTCCCATCTCTGGTAGCGTTTCTCTAACTGTGGTGTCGTATATTCTAGATGGAAAAAAATGAAAACCGTCAAGTACTTCATGCACTTTGAGTTGCAGATACAATTAATTTACTCGCTTACATTTTTCATACACCTTTAGAGCTATAACTTAGATCAATTTTGATAAAGCCAACACATAGATTCGAACACGAGAACATAAGAGTAGAAGACATGTGTACAAACCGTTCAACTAAAATAATCTAATGATATAAGTGCTTATTCTATAGTCTTTCAGAGTCTTCCGTAAACTTACTAAATTAGATTTTCAGTATCCCAAACTATTAAATTAAAAATTATCATTTCCTTGGTGCCTATACCTAGGTGTTCACCAGTGCCAGTAATTGGGTCCCAGTCCGGCTGGGTACTTAGTCATTTGACGTTTATTCCGCTAATCTATCGGTACTTCTCTCTTTTCTAAGGGTGTGGCTGTGGGGATTGGTTTAACGTTGGTATGGGTGTCGTTATTCCCATTCTAACTATTCCCGCATCCAACCAACATCCACACCCATATCCATCCAAACAACACCCACACCCACAATCCACCCACGCACATCTACACCCTAGCCATATCCACACCCTGAAAACATGAAATTCATTTATAGTATTCTAAATTATAACGATTGATATATAGAAATATATGATTAGCCAATGGATTTAGTATCATAACTTATCTCACTACTTCAACAGCCTAAAAATCACTGTATGGCAATATACTCGAAAAGAAAGTACTACTCGACTAATGAACTAAATATCAAAGGATTCAGTACCCAGTCCAACTGGGACCCAGTTCACCAGTCAGAACTGGGACTGGTGCATCCCTACCTATACCCAATAACGAGTTTGATCTCCTCTTGGTATATTTTTTATTTGAACTTGTTTAAATTTAAATTTAAATACCCAATTGGAATGATTTTAATTAATTTAAATGGTATTTAATATTTAAACAAGTTGAATCTCTTAGATATAAATTTTAAGAAATTTAAAAATAAATTTTTTGAATTGTTTTCTTTATTTAATAGATTTTTGTATATGTAATTTCGTCATCCTTTTATCCAAAAGTGTCACTAAATGCAAAGAATATTCTTTTGTAAATCGAATATTCTTTCTATTAATAAGTCACGCTTACATTAACAAAGTACGAACTAAAACCATATTTAATAGTATTGTACACAGTATCATCAGGTGATGGCCAGCTAACGGTCACCCTCACATTCGAAGGTTTGAAATTACAAAAGTGAAAGAATACTGTCTCTGCAATCGAAAGTACACCATTGACGGATTAACAAACATGTTGCAAGCTGTGAGATACCTTAGTTATGAGTGATATAATCCTCATTTTCCTTTCATCATATATATAAAAAATAAATTTATTGACTAATTTCATAATAAAGTAGGATTTTGAATCTTGTTCAATTGCATTTTGTGGAACTCACGTAT